TTAGGGATTTGACGCCCTGCCGGCCTACAGGGTCCCCCTTTGGTACTTTTTAAGAAAAAGAATTTTCGCCGACCGACCCTAAAATTTTTCTAAAGGCGCCTTTGAAAATTTGGCCGAAACAGGGACTAAACTGTGCTTAGGGAGAGCTCAAAAATTCAATTCGGTCGACCTAACAAAAAAAATTCCTTCCTCGAGAAAACCCTAGATCCTCCCCTGGGTACTAGTTTAGTTTTTTTGTTCCTTCAAAATTACAGTGATTCCCAATAAAAACCGAAAAAAAACGAGGTACAGTATGTGGCTAATTCTAACAGTAAGCATTTTTTTGTGAATATTGCTGTCGCAACGGGGCTAGTTAGTCTAGCGGGTATGCATCCGGATACCAGTCCAAAGGCGTAAGTTCAAGTCCCGCGCTGGCTCTTCTTTTTAGAAAATGGGCGGGACAAATTATCTGAGCACTAGTTTTGTCAAGGAATAGTACCTTCTCATCAATTGAAAAAAAAAAACAATTTTTGAAAAAAATTCTGACAACGAAAGAAATAATTTCAAACTCGTTCCGATTCTGTTATAAGTTTGGTTGAAAAATCATCATTGTAGGTCAATTGCATTGTCGCAATTTTTAAATGGAAATTAATCAACAGCTTGACAGGCTATTACAGCGGAAACATTTCAAAAATGTCAAACAATGTGTCAACTTGGAACAATTTTTTTCCACAATTTCAACCATTCTTACTATCAGCGACAATCTTTTTACAGATTGCACCCGAATTTTTTTAATTTTGTTTTGGCAATATCCAATGACTGGTACGCCAACCAGTCGAAAGACCAACAAACCGAAACTACAATTAGGAATCCAACAAGCCAAAAACTAATTTTAATATGCAGCATAAAAACAAATTTCCATTGTCGTTATGCAATTTTTACATAACTCTTATTTAATTTACGTAGATCTGATGCAGCTTCAGCTTCGAGATAGGGCGGTTTGTAGATATGGTGGTTTGTTGAATATCTGCCACTCATTGTCTAAATGCTGAGAACAACATACGATACTGATAGCACTGGTTGATTTGGTTAATACAAATGCGCTCACTTTATTCTTATGCCGACTTCTAACAAGGCCGAGTTTCGAGCAGAAACGAATGTGATCAATTTTTTCTCTGGAGCTGTTTTCTATTTTTTATCTCATCCGGGTAAAACTCTGGAGCGTATTTGAAATAATTTTGAGTAGTTACCCCAAAATTCTTTATTGTAGGCCAATTCAGTTTATTTGTAATTCCACTTAAAATAGCGAACAAACATTTTGAGATGGTACCAAATTTGACTGACCAATTCTAGCCAAGCAGATTAAAGCATAGTAGTTTGAGTTCAAGATGTTGAAATTTGATTTTTGGGCCAAATGAGTAAAAAAAAAAGCGTAAACGAGTAAATAAGAAATTTGAAAGTAGAACCAAACCTGTAGATATATGCCCAAACATGTCAAGAGGTTGTTGTGCATGGCCGTGTTCAACATGGAGGCTGCAATTGACCCCTGGGTGTAACTCATCGCGTTAAACACTTCCATTTCTGCTGTCAGACTGTCCTGGGCTAACATTACGTCTCTAATTGGGCAAACAACAATAAAAAACACCTTTGAAAAAATCTTTATGCTCAAAAGAGCGAAAAAGGTTTGATTGAGGATGAACTGTACAATCCTCCATGATTGATTTAGGAGGAATAAAAGAACTGGTTTTTTATAAATTAACTTAGAGAACAAAATAAACTGATCTGATCAACCAAAAAAAATTAATTTAAAAAAACTATAAGCAAAATTTTAGTTAATTGACATTATTAATAGGTTTTCCTTTTGAAAATTGTTCTCAAGCTGTCTATTCTGAGCTTTTGTTTGAAATGAATTTTTTGTACGAGCTCAATTTTCAAAATTAGTACGTAGCTAGGTCGCTAGGAGTTTCTACGGTAGGTCACTTAGTTGAGGGGGGAGATGGCACGGTAAATCCTTGATTGGTTATGTCAACTAATCAAAGCTCAGAATTCCAACACTCGAAGGAAATAAAAGATAATTTCAGTCCTTTTGGGGCAATTTAAAGTGCGATGATTGGTTGAGAATTTTCGCACATTCGGTCTTTTGCGCATTCTGTCGCCCGCATTTGAGAAAATAGAAAAAAATCTAATATAATGGATTTTTGTGGTCAAAATTATTGTCAATATAACTGAATCCCATCTTATGCTCGGACAAAAAAAATTGAACTAAAAATGGAAACAAATCCATTTTTTCTCGCAAAAACATTGCATTATAAATCATTTGAAGTCCGTTATAATGGATTATACAGTGCTGATTTAAATTATCCGGACAAAACGAACAGAACTTGAATTTTCAAACGCGTTTTTCTCAATTTGGGTTAAGATTAGACAAAAAGTGAACGGAATAAAAATTGCTTAGAATTGCATCAGAATTAATATAGTGCAACTTTTTCTCCGAAATTCTCAACCAAAATTTTACCCCCAAAAAGGAGCATTTTTTTTCAATTAATCAAAAATTACGCTGAAACTACCTTGTTAATTGATAAGGAATATACATCACAACAAGCCACTGCGCAGCCCAACAAATTTCTAGCAGGGTTGTATCTCGAAAAACCTGTATAAGAGAAAATATTTTCACTTGATAGTCAATAAATGTGATTTTTACTATATAAAACCCAGAATCTCTGTTAAAAAATACATTTTAAACAATTTATGCAAATTTTTGGAGATTTAACCCTTGTTAAACTTTGTTGAGCTGCGTAAAAGGCTTCTTTTGATATAATTTTCTCATCAGTTAACAAGTAGTTTCAGCGTAACTTTTGATTAGTGGAAAAAAGCCAAAATAACCCACGTTAAATCTGATGAAAATCTAAGCAACTTTTGTTTCGTTCACTTTTTGTCTAATCTTAACCCAATTTCAGAAAACCGCGGGTGAAAATTCAAGTTTTGTTCGTTTTTTTTCCGGATAATTTAAATGAGCACTGTATAATACGTAGAAAACAACACTAAATTGGTTTTTTCTTTCACTTCAGTTTTGTTTCGCGTCGTGCAACATTTTGCAAGTAATTCTGCAGTTATCAAATCAAACTTTGCAAATTGTTGAATGGTACAGAATTCAATCATTGAGTAACAAAAAAAAATTAGCGAAAATATCGAAGTTGCGCGGAAAAAATTAATTTGAACAAATAGAAAAGAATTTTTGTGCCCTTGAAAAAAAACGATTATGATTGAGTTCCATTGTCATTGTCAATTAAAGTGAAAAACAAATAAATCTAATTGATTAAAAGTGGATCCTATTGCCTCCAAACACAAATCGTAATCATATAGTCCATTTTCAAATGACGATTATCGATTTTTTTCACTTTTGTGGACACTGACAATTTGAAGGATTTTTTTTCTCAATTTTCAGTTGCAATATCACTTCCATGCTCAAATAAGCATTTTTCAAGTTTTTCATACCAAAACAGCAAAAATGCCTGAATTTTTTGTGCGAATCCAAATTTGGAAGTTTTGAAGTTTTGATTCTATAAAAGACACTTCAGACCGTCAAAAAAAGTCTCTTCAAACGGCCAAATTTTGAACAATTGTTGAATAAACATTTCCTAGCCATATACAAAAATTTGAGGCTCCTGTTCATAGATATGAATGATCTGTGAAAAAAATCTCACAATGATTACCCAAAAGCGGAGTATCTGTGAGGTTTCATCCCTTCAACCAAGGGGAGTTCCTGTGTTAGTAAATCACTGATTATTGCGTTTACGGACAAAACCCAAAAATTTTTAGCGAAATTTGATAATAATTTTTTGATATATTGAAAAAGGTTTGTCATAAAATTTTCTCTATGAAAAATGCTTACCGTAGAATTTTGTTACCTGTTGTACGTATCGAATTGTAGAAAGTTGTACGAGAAGCAATTCGCCATATATTAGAACAGTATGACAAGCTTTTTTGGTCAACCCGGGTATTTTAAGACATCAAGTTACTTTTTCTTGGAACATAATCTTTCTCACAGTTTCAATTTGACAAACTAAGAGTTATTTTTCTTACTTGACATTCATTTGGCTAGAGCTCTTTAAAAGAAGAAGAATGAGTTTAATTAGGTGAGTACTTAATCACTAAAATATTAGATAAAAAAGTGAACAAGATCACTCCGAAAGAGTGGACTAAGTTGAAGGTCAAACAAAGACTGTTGAAAAATTAGTCAAAGTGAATGATCTAAAATCAGATTACAATAATTCCTAGACTAAGAATTAAAAATGAAAAATTTTGAAGAGGCAAATATAACTTTAATTAAATACATTAACTCTTTTCCATCGAGCAAAAAGAGGACCCGGGTAGATAAACCGTTCAAAAACCGCTCAAACCGCTCAAATCTTGCTTCAAATTAGGTGAAAAATCTCGACTCGGGGAAGGAATTAATATGTTGTACAGACTATGTAAAGTCAGAATACAGAACAATGACTATTCTTAAGTAGGGGAGTGTGATTAGGAAGTTTATGAAGTTTATGGCTGTCAAATTGAGAAAGAGTATCAAAATAAGCCAAATCTTCTTCTACGAAAAGTGCTGTGAAAACATCGGACTCTGTGTCATTATCTTCTGGTATCTATGTCACAAGCTGATCCGTAGAACTTTTTAAAAGTGACTTGTGTGATGTATCAGTTGGACTGATTGTCCTTTATACGTCAGTACAGACAGGAGTGTTTTAATCGAACTGAACATTTACAGCGGCATTATCTTCTGTGCTGTCTTCGATAAAGCCTGAAATATCTGTCGATTGATTGACTAAGGATAGGGTTGTTGGGCGATCCGAGATCCGATTTGATCTATAAAATCTTTTAAATATCAATTTATAAAACTTTTTGTTGGGCCCAGATTTTTTTAAATATCTGCGTACGGCTATAGGGGATGAATTACCCGAACGACTGGCGACCTCCATGTCTCCCGAGGAATCCACGATTTCAAACCTTGGTTTATCTCCGGCAGCTCATTCTTGATTAACCGGAGTGTTTTCGGGTTCGGCCAGTATCGTGTCCTGAACGAGGAGTTGAGAGTTGCTTTCACTGGAGTCTTCTGGTATGACCGAGATTGAGTACTCGTTTGTTTGTGGTACGTCTTAATCCCAGATTCAATCGTAAAATTTTTTTCTCGAGACAATTTTATCTGGCTTTAATATAGAGGCTTAAATAGAGGCTACTCTTCATCGACAAAATATCCCTTCCTTCTTGAATCTTTAAAAGAGAAAACCCCCACAGATCCTTCTTAATTGCTAAAATTTGATGTTTCCGAAAGAATAACATAAGACTCGTCGCAAGCAAAATAAACGGATGTTTAGTTCTTCTTTGCCCGAGAACAACAAATGGCGGTCCTCTACTGGAGTTCCTTGGCGTCCTAGCTTGTCTGGTTTGAGACTAATCTCGCGGAGTAGATTTGATTTCGGTTTTGGTTTTGGTTTTGGCTTGTGGCTTCCTTTGATTGGCGATAAGAAGGAGTAGTGTGGCATTTAATGGGTGGATGTATTCTTTTTTGTCACTTTTCTGTGGATGAGAAAGTGAGTGGTTATAACAAAACAATTTTTTCATAGCTATATCCGATTTACCAATAAGTTTTCCACTGGAAATATTAATTGTAGAGTTGGACGAGTTTACTGGTTTACATTCAGCTCTTCCAAGGACGCTAAAATCAGTACACGGATTCTCAAGAGGAATTCTGCTGTTTGAATTCCCTGCCATTTTTGTCTGGTCCTCTAGCCTTCATCCGACGGATTACGGTTTATCTGTGGTAACGGCTTGTTTGTGTAATCACTCTCAACTCGGTCATTTGTTCCACAGCTTAAAGCTTCATCTTTTGAGATGATTGATTCTAAATTGTATATGATGTCAAGAAAGTTATTTGAAGCCAACGATTTCCAAACAATGTCTGGATTTCTTCCGCAATGTATTTCGAAAGACAATGTATTTCTTCCGCAATGTATTTCTTCCGCAATGTATTTCGAAAGACAATGTATTTCTTCCGCAATGCATTTCTTCCGCAATGTATTTCGAAAGACAGTGTATTTCTTACGCAATGTATTTCGAAAGACAATGTATTTCTTCCGCAATGCATTTCTTCCACAATGTATTCCGAAAGACAATGTATTTCTTCCGCAATGTATTTCTTCCGCAATGTATTTCGAAAGACAGTGTATTTCTTACGCAATGTGAGTTAGGACTGGAGTGTAACTCATAGAGTAATTTCGGATAGGGTACACCGTCTGCTCGTCACGCTATCTTATTTTCGGCCGGATAGATTCGTGCAACTTCTTAGTCTAATACCGATCCTAATCTTACTCTTATACTATCTAGTCTCAGGTTGTTTAACTAGTCTCTGCTAGGCTCAATAGATCTAGGGTATACTGGTTTATTGCGGCTGCTGAAGTGCTCGGGAGAGTCCAACTAATTTCTAAGTTAAATTCAAATCTCTCTGGTGCTGAAATTACAAGTAACTTCAGCACTTACAAATAAGTGGGTTGTTAGTTAGATGGATCATGATTGGTTAATATTAAATACTTTACATTGGTAAAACATTTAATTTATCCAATCATAAAATATAGTTTAGATCAGGTTCCACCCATCCGGGTTTTACAGAGTTTTTTAGAACAGTTCTTTTGTAGTTCAAGGATGGATGATGGACGTTGGTATTTGGCGAACATCATTTTTCTTTTGTTTCCTTTTTGTTAAGGAAGTTCCAGGGATCTGGAATTGAGGACACAAGACGTTGTGTTCTTCTTGTGACAACGACTGAGTCTCTGCAACAGCATCAATTCTGGTTTCAGAATGGTTGGCTATGTCAGGTTTTTCTGTTCTTCGGAGAGAACTTCTTTTGTGTTTGATCTAGCTCGGGAATGGCGTGGAGATTGTGCGTGGAGGGGATGCCTGGTTACTCGGATCTGTACGTATACTTGAACATCGAGGTGGTCATTGGTCTAGTTCAATGAAGTCCTTTTCTGCGAGGTCAAGTCGTACTCTAAATCCTTTGAGTTGTGATTGTGAGCGGCATATCGATTATAGTTGGTCATTCTCTCTCGAGTGTAGTGAGGTCGTCTTGTCTTTTGATGTTCGTCCTTGGTGTTGTATTCTGATCTATATATTGCATCATGTGATTTTACATTTTATAAAACTTTTATTAATTTAATATTTTTTAATTATGATTTTAGTTAGTTGTTTTCACAAAAGCTTTTTGTTTTAGTTCGGTTATTTTGAAGAGTTACTCACCCTTGAGTAGCTCTTATTAAAAATAAAGGTGTGGTCACAAAGCGTGGATGTAGCACGGTGGGTTAGGCCGGCTATAGAGCATGCTCAGGACGTCCTTTCCTGGTGGGTTAGGCCAGGTGTGGGAGTATGATTTCATGCGGTTTTTATGAGGGGTCCTGTTATGTGACAACATTTTATGTTGGGTTTGTTGTGGTTTTACTTATGTTTTGTTGGTTATGTACTTTTTCCAAAAAGCAAATTGTTTGTGGTATGGGTTTGTCTTTTGACTTTTTTGTGTTTTATTATTTCTTTCTAAGACTTTGTAATAGTCTTCAAAAGAATAAATTATCCAGTTTTAAACTGGGTTAATCCGGTTTGGGTACCGTTGGTTTCCTTTTCTTAGTCATGCTGTTATTTTATGATTTGTGGTATTTAGTAAGCTGCGTTGGTTAGTTTTGTTTAGTATATGATTCCTTTCCAACCGGGTTAAAGGAAAGTTTGAAACTTGTTATTATTTGTTAGAGTTGTTGAGTGTGAAAACTTGAAACTGAAACTCATTATTTTAAACAATTCTTCGTGGGCGAGCTGTGCGAGTGTGGATAGAATTTCTGTGCGAATGAATGAAAATATCAAAAGGTTAGTACTGCAATTGCATTTTATTAATTTACTGCATAGAATTTGGAAATTTACTGCTAGTAATGGGGGAATTTTAAGATACAAATTTTCATCATATGTAGATTTACTGCTTTTAGGGGAAAATTTTATAAATTAATTTACTGCATTGGTATTATATTTATTTAATTGTTGGTGCAAAAGTTAAATAGGGTTTTAAATAGTTTTGAAGAAGTTTGCTATTTTTTATTTTTCTTTTGTGAATTTTTCAGATGATTGAAGATGAAGGCTAAAAATCTAAAGAAAACATGAATAAGGAATGGTGAGTTTTTCAATATTTTAATTAGTTAGTAATATTCATTTAGTTCATACTTACCTGTTAGTCGTCGGGGAAAAAACCGTGGGGGAAGATATCGTGAATTAGTTCTGAAGTTGTTAGTAGTTTAGCTAAGATGCGGATGATATTTTTAGTTTGAAGTAGTGGCCAAAGCAATTGAAGTGCCTTAATAGTGGTTAGTTCTTCAGTGCCTACTGCAAACTCATAAGGTGTGTTTTGGATTAAGTTATATAACTTGTGGTTAAATTTAGTGTTGTGGATGAATTCTAAAATGGGGATTTCTATAGGCTGTACAAACTCGTGCGGGATAAGGAAGGGTCGGGATTCTTCTGCGTTGAAGGTCTTGGTGATGGGGCAGAAAATATACATTTGGGTTATGGGGTCATAATTACGAAGAATACCATGAAGGTTAGTATTTTTAATACAATATGTGAAATTTAGGAAATACGGTGAAGTGTATTTTGAATTGATGAATTGAAAGCGATGGTGTGGTTGTCTAGAGGGTGTGTGGAGGTCAAAGTGATTTTGGATGAAACGATAGTAACTGTATGTATGTGTTTGTTTAGTTCGCAACATAATATCGTGTGAGCAGTGTAAATCTCTTTCGTGTGGTGCAAGGAAATGAAAGGTTAGTGAAAAGATTTGGAAGCGTTCTTTAAAACTTTCGTACGCTTGTGTGCTTGTTAGTGCTTCTGAAATAATGTGATCAAACTTTCGGTCGAAGATGTTTAGTGTAAATACATATGGTGTCTTGATGAAAAATTTCTCGGTGATTTGTGGGTTAGCGAAGCGATCGTCGTCTAAGAATTGATCTTGGTTAGCTCTGATGATGTTGTGATCATAGTATTCTAGTGTGTATTCGTTAGCTCTAGGTGCAGTGTGTATTTTTAGTGATTTTTTATATCCAACGTAAGTAAATTGTCTAGCGGTGAGTGGTGTAGTTAGTCGATATAGCATGTCTTTGTTTCGGTCTATATCAATGGATGTGTTAGTTAAAGGTAAGCAAAGAGGGTTAGTGAAATGATAGTATGAGGTCCAAGAGAGAGTGGGCATTAAAACGTATTCGTCTACAAAGTTGCGTGTTTCGTTAGCGTCATGAGGGGTGTTTAAGGTGTATTGTGGAAATGAGGGTAAAGTGATGGCTAAAAATTCTCTAGTGTTAGTATGTTGGGGGTGGTTGATGTATTCTCGGGCTGTTCCTGGTTTTGCTGGGAAAGGATGGTTGGGGAACTTTCTTTTAAAAGTGCGATAAGCTCTATTAGTGTTGAGTGAGGATTCAGTTGATGTGGATGATGGTGCTAATGATTCGGTATAATTTGAAGAGGGTGTAGGGGGATTGGATGAATTTGTAGTGGAGGAGATTTGGTTTATGGTCGGGGTGTTAAGGTGGTAGGGTTGTTGTTGGAGGGTAATAAAATTGTCTAGCTCTGGGGAGATTCGGGGGGTGTCTGGAGATGATTGGTCAGAATGGTATGAGGAGTAGGTTGGGGTAACTTGGGAAGCATAAGAGGGTGTAGGAGTGATTGGGTCAGGGTTTTTTGATAATATGGGTTGAAAAGGAGGTTGAGAAAAATGAGAAGGGTTATGAAAATTATTGGATGGAGATGGTTCTGAGTCGGCAAATTCGTCGGGGGTTTCAATATTCGGGTTATTTAGCTGTGAAATGGAGTATAAAACTGAAATTTGTGAGTTAGTGTCGGAATTCATGCCTGATGTTACATTGCTAGATGGGAAATCGGGTGGCGGAAAAGCAAAAAGTGGTATTATTGGGATTGAAGAGGTAAGGTTGGTTGGATGGGAATTTGATCGATGGAGTGATCCAAGTTGGCGGCTCATCGTGGGCTAAAAAAATTATTATTTTGAGATTGAAAAGCGGTGGTATGGGGCTGTTCAATAATTTGTTCATAAGTATTATCATCTTGTGATGGATGTGT